TTTCCAAAGCTCCTTCCTCTATAGTTGTCTGCCCTACAAATTCTGGTCATATCCTGGAGCTCCAATAACTTATCTCCTCAACTTACTGAGATGACTGTGCTCTATTGGGATCTCCCTTTCTGCCCTTAGGCCTATAAAGTGTCTCACTTATGTACTGAATTACGTTCCCCTAAATTTCATGTTGATGCCCTAACTAGCCTTCGATGTGACTGTATTTGGAGATGGAGCCTTCAAGGTGGTGAAGTTGAGGTCGCAAAGGTGAGGTGCTAATCCATTAGGACTTCTATCTCCTTATTAGGAAGACTGATTTGTGGTTACATGGACACTATTCAGAAGTAAGGCATGCCCTGGATCCTTCCTAACAAGACACAAGTGATCTCCTCCCCCCACCTACACCCCCCTGCATATGCACACAGAAGAAAGGTCATGTGAGGACATTGAGAAAGATGGTTTACTGGAAACCACACCTCATAGCACCTTGACTTTGTCCTTCTAACCTCTAGATCTGCAAGAACATAAATATGTTGTTTAACTCATCTAGTCTGTGGTATTTTGTATGGCAGTTATAGCTGGCTAATACAGCCTCCAAAGAGAAACCTGGACCAATATTTGTAATTCTTTGCTATTTTCCTTCCTCTAGAAGATCAAAGTCATGTACTCTTGTCCAATTCTTGAAAGCAGTTGTTTCACTTATTTCATCTATTTCTAGGGTTAGTTGGGTCCCAATTACTCCATCATGGTCAGCAGCATGAGTCTTATTATCACACACTTTTTTTAAAGATTTATTTATTTATGCATACAAGAACTGGGGTACAGTCCAGAGGTATGCAGGGGTTGGAGTGAGGGTAATAGGGTTCACAGGCAGATCGACAAAGTACACTGCTTAGAAGAGCAGTGGGCAAGACAGGTCTACTGTGCCATGGGGGTCACCTGCCTGGCTGGGGATCAAACTCATGCTGTATTGGCTGCAGATATCTTCAGAGTGCTGCACTTCAACCCATTGTGCCACCAGGGAGGGTCCACACACTCTTTTTTATCTTTTAATGAAATGATTTGCAGAAATTTATGACAAGGAGAAAGGATATTCTGCTTATAACAACAGCATGGTGGGTTTACAACAATGGGAGAAAAATTACCCCTCTCTATTTTAAACAAGAGGGAAAATACTTGAATTTTCCTAAGTTGACAAGTTGTGTTTCAGAGTACAGGCCCAGAAGATAGTCTGTGTCCTTGAGGTGACTGCTCACTGCCTAGACCAAAAAGAGCCATGACAGATGGAACTAAGGTGCCTGGTTTGTGGTTAAATGGACAACATTCAGAAGGGTTGCTCTGGACCAAACTCAAGTTATACTGTAACTTGGCAAAAAGCGACCAATGAGATTCTACCAACCTGCATTTTCTGTATCTGTTCTTCAACTCCTTAAGTGCTGCCCAAAACCCAACCTTGGATTCTGATTTGACAACCTTTCCTCCAATCTTCTGCCAAGTTGTAACAGGGTGGTCCCCAGGAAAAGGGAAAGATCCAGGTTCCTTGCCCCACCCAGGAGGTGGGTGGAGCTGAGCAGAGAAGAGAGAAGTCTGGAGAAGAAGGAAGCAGAATAGAGAGCCAGAAGGAGACCTGAGGATGCCACATGAAACAGAGAGAGATATATGAAGAAACAGTGTTTGCTTCTTCGTCCAGCATTGGTTGAAACAGATGTGGGTGAGAGACCCATGTGAAAGTCCACTATGGCAGCGTTTATCTTGATTTTGATTTTGCTCTTTTACTCCCAGACTTGTCTGACCATTTCTGACCCTTCTCTATGGGGCCCGGCCAATAGGTGCTTTAGACTTGTGATGGGATCTCAGGCCTTGCTTTGGGCCAATCCCTTTTGGGTAGACTTTTACCCACGAGGAGATGGGTAACTTCAGATGCTTAGTTTACAAATTATATTTTTTGTCTTTTCTGTATTGCACACATATTGTATTAAAGTTCCTTTCCATTAAAG